GATTTAGAGGAAGAAAACCAAAGTCAGCATTGGTTAAAGTGAATTGGGACTAAAAGAGTACTAGGAAGTAAAGAGAAATAGATCTTTGTATAGATATAGCTTTAGAGTTTACCACATGGTTCTTTTTGAATATCTATCCTCACTTCTTTAGGCATTTACACATTCAGTGTATTTTTTGCTTTTTGAAGATGGGTTTTCCTGTTAAGACAAGAACAAAACCTCCCCCTTCCTTTATCAGGTCTCCATACAACTCGTAGAATATACCTTGGTGTATGACCTATCATTTCTCCTAATCAAGGGGGTTTCTCCTGTTCAAAACTAATCTTGATGAACTTTGATGATATCCAAAGCTTTTCTTCTCCTGTGGAAAGAAAGGCAAAACCCCTACCCCAAAGTAATGCATATCCTGGGTTCCATACTGAGGTCAATACATCCTTGAAGTACACCAGCTGATTTAGTTCAGAAGTTTTTTCTATTGTCCAGTGTCTTTCTGCAGCTGTTTTTCCTTTCTCATTAGTATTAAGAAAGTTTGATGTTGCTGGGTGTTGGTGGCACACACCTTTAATCCCAGCACTCGGGAGGCAGAGGCAGGCAGATCTCTGTGAGTTCGAGGCCAGCCTGGTCTCCAGAGCGAGTGCCAGGATAGGCTCCAAAGCTACACAAAGAAACCCTGTCTCAAAAAAACCAAAAAGAAAAGAAAAAAGGAAGTTTTATGTTAGCAAAGCATATGTAATCTGTGCCTGGGGGGTCTTTGTTCCCCATGCCTGTTTAGAGAGCATTTCCTTTAAAGTGTGATTAGATCTCTCAATTCTGCCTTTTCTACAGAGTTATAAGGGCTTTGAACTACTTTACTTATTTTTCCCAATTTATATTCTGCCTTATCTGATTTGTTTGCATCAGGGTAGAATGTAGGGATTCCAAAGATTGGTGTTTTTCTTACAATACAGGGAAGGATCCAAATTGTTTTCTTTATGAATCTGATTCTCTCAGTTTTCGGATAGTTGTTGCTAATCGTCCCAAAAAGTACTACAAGCTCCTTGCCAATATTCATTATCTTTCCAAAAAGAGGAAATTTCATCATTAGTTAAAGGTACTATAATTTCTGCTGGGTCCCTTCCTGCCAGTTGACAAAGTCTTAATTTGCCTTTTAACATCAAATCAGAGATTGTTTTCTATATATGTTTTTAGTTTTTTATTCTGCTTATGTGGTAGAAATATCCATTCTAATATGATATCTTCCCTCTGCTTCAGAGATTCCCTGAGATTCCCTCAGATATCAGAATCTCTGAAAGGTATTCTCTAGATGGTAATATAATCAGAATACAGTCTAGTTCTGGATTCACGCCCTCCACATGTGCTTCTAGTATTCTTTTTCCTACCCATTTTAATTCCTTTTCAGCTTCAGTTGACAAAATTTGTGGACTATTTAAGTCTTTGTCCCCTTTTAGGGTCATTTTTAAGTTTTTCAAATCATGCCCTTCTACTCCAATAATAGTCTGCAGCTGAGAAATCTCTCCCAGTAATTTTTGAAAATCATTAAGAGTCTGGTAACAATCTCTCCTGATCTGTATTTTTTGTGATCTAATTTTTTGTAGACCTGTCATAACCTAAACAATTGATAGAATCTCCTCTTTGTATTTTTCCAGGGGCAATCTGTAATCCTATATCTGGTGTCAAAAGTGAGATAAAGATTACCACCCATGGGATAAGGATGCCATAGGATATTTTTATTGGGGAGAAATCATTTACATGAGACATCAATAACCCAGGGTCAGCGCTCTGAGCATCCAGTCTCCACTGCTCTCCAAGACCTGACCGGAACCCTGAGAGAGACCAGACCTGCCTCTCCTCAGGCCTATATCTCACAGGCCCATGCACCTGTGGCCACGCCCAAACAAGTGTGGTCAGCAACACAGGTACCTAGTAAGATCTCTTCGTACAGGGGACTCCAGCTTCGAGGGACTGGAGTACATTCCCTACACACAGGGCATTTTTTTTTTTTATTTTTCTCTATATTTGCACGTTAGCCAGTTGATTACTATATGCCCAGAACAACTTGAATGAGGCTTTCAGAAAGACAATGCCACATGCAAACACTTGATCTATAGGTGTTAGAATAAAGCTTGAGGGGGACCTTTCGTAGGGGACCTTGGCGGATTCCATGGCAGGCGAGGGTGACTGAGGTGAGGGACAAACACACCCGGCAGACAGAGCTTAAGTGAGAAGTTTTATTAGAAAGGGGAGGGAATGGGAAGGAAAGAGAAAAGAGGTAAAGAGACACAGAGACAGGGATAGGAAAGAAGAGAAGAAGGAGACGGGAAAAGTCCAGGAAAGAGAGCAGGGAGAGTGTGGAGGGTGGGAAGAGCAGAAAGAGAGTGTAAGTGGGTGGGGGTCTTTCTTTTAAAGGGGTCCTTTGCACCTGCATGCAGACTAGCACTCATGGAACCCTGGTCTGACCAGAGTACTGCCTGAGTGCATTTTGCTAGGTGACAGTGACAGGCCTGCATAATGCCTGAATCCTTACAAAGGTACCACAGTTTTCTGGGTTTCCTGAACCAACTTTTGCATAGGCCTTTGTCTTCTTGGGAAAGTTCCAGGCAAAGTTCACATAAGGGAACAAAAGGTATCTGGTGGTCAGTCAAAGGATGGATTAGGCTAGGTGCTAGCTCACCAGAGCTAGGCCAGGTGTCACTCAGCAGGTGGTTAGGGCTAGTTGCTATCACTACAGTGCCAGTCGGATACCACTACACTCCAGTGTCTTGACTTCCCAAGGAATTAAACCTCAGCCATTACTTTGGACTTGGTGGTGTAGGACTGGATCTCCATTTCTATAACATAACACCAAAGTAAAGATGAAAAGGAAGGATGTCATCTTCATTACAGAGCACTATGCTGTCCAGTGTTGCTACTGGGACAGAGAACTGTCCTAGCAAACATGTCCCAACACAGCAGCTCTTTCCTGCTGCTCCCGTCAACAGCATGCCTTCCCATAATGTAACTGCTTGTTCTTAATAGAGTTCAGGCACCAGAAGTAATGCATATGAAGAGATGTGACTGGTATGTATTCACTCACAAATGGATATTAGATGTAAAGCTAAGGATAGCCAGGCTACAATCCACAACTCCAGAGAAGCTAGGTAAAAAGAGAGGCCCCAAGAGGTACACATATAATTGAGATCGCCTGGGTAAACTGTGAGGAGGCATGGTAAAAGGGAGGGAATGGGGCATGGGAACATGAGGGATCAAGAAGGAGGCCCCAAGAGGTACACATATAACTGAGATCTCCTGGGTAAACTGTGAGGGGGCATGGTAAAAGGGAGGGAATGGGGCATGGGAACATGAGGGATCAAGAAGACTGAGTTGGGGGAGAGACAGAAGGGGAGATCAATGAAAGAGATATCTTGATAGAGGGAGCCATTATTGGGTTAGGGAAAAATCTAGTGCTAGAGAAATTCTCGGGAATCCACAAGGATGAGCCCAGCTAAGACTCCTAGCAATAGTGGAGAAGGTGTCTGAATGGTCCTTCCCCCTTTAATCAGATTAGTGACTGCTCTTATTTTCATCATCATAGAACCTACATCTAGTAACTGATAGAAGCAGTTTCAGTGACTCATAGCCAAGCACTGGGCTGAGCTCCTGGAATTCAGTTGAAGAGAGGGAAGAAGGATCATATGAACAAAGGGGTCAAGACCATGATGGGGGAAACCACAGAGACAGTTGACCTGAGCTAGTGGGAGTTCATGGAAAACCACAGACACAGCTGACCTGAGATTGTGAGAGTTCATAGACTATGGACTGACAACTGGAGAACCTTCATGGAACCAAACTAGACCCTCTGAATGTGGGTTACAGTTATCTGACTTGATCTGTTGGGAGGGGGGCCTGGCAGTGGCACCAGGACCTAACCCAGGGGCATAAACTGGTTTTAGCGGGCCTATCCCTATGGTGGGATACCTTGCTCAGCCTTTATACAGCGGGGAGGGGCTTGGTCCTGCCTCAACTTGGTATGCCAGACTTGGCTGACTCCCCAAGAAAAGTCTTAGCCCCTCTAAGGAGTGGATGAGAGTGGGAAGGGGGAGGTGGGGCACAGGAGAAGAGGAGGAAGGGGGAACTTGGATTGGTATGTAAAATTAAAAATATTTTTTTAATTAGAAAAAAAGAACAGATGTAACAGTAAATGTCCTGGCTGGGCTTTTCTGCCCTCAGCAACTACCTGAGTGCATCCATATTTTACTCTCCATAACGTATCACCTGCTCTTCTTAGTATGAGCCATATAGCTTATGCTTGTACAACCAACCACATACTCTATCTACTCTTTCATAGTTGCAATAGGCTGGGAAACCAAGCCTTTGAAAGCCACATTGCATCATTTCTCTTGTTGCTAAGAAGGAAATGGAAAAACCTAAGTTAGGCTTTTCCTTAGTATCTTCCTTTGCTATTTTATGTATATTGTGTTTAATCTGATAAACTATATGATCCAGGTATTTAATATAAATGAGGCAGCCAACAGAGGGGTGGCTACTTTCTTAAGCCCTGATGAGGAGAATACATTTGGTGATTACTGAAGTAAAAGCCATAGATAGAGAGGAATAAGGCACAGTAGCCAGAAAACATTGTCATGCTCTCACTAACAAAGTTAGCAGAAGTCTCCAGGTTAGGCACTGGGACTTCCAAGGGAACCATTTGGAGCTTTGTGCAGTTGATAAGGGAGTGCCATACAGATCCCAGAGATGAGAAGGGACTAAATTACATGAGTTCAGTGCAGGAGAACATACGACTGCTTCAAACTCAGGAACTTAAGGGGAGTCTAAGAGCAACCTGACGACAAGAACTATGGTAGATCTGTCAGCCATTCACCCTGCTTCCCCTGAGCACAGACAACACCACTCCTTTGCATTTGCTTTCTATTTATTCTCATTTTTGGTAACTTCTACTCCTTGTCTGACATCCAATTATAACCTCAGGCCCACCCAACACCATCTTGTGTGCAAGACCAGCTTCACACAGGCACACACTTCCATTGGTTCCAGGCACAGGGCATGCGGAAATGCTGCAATGAGTGACTCATTTTTTGCATAATAGTATTGCTTTTGTCTGTGTGAGAATAAATAGGAAAGCCACGTTTCCTCATAAGCTGCTCTTGTGAATAGACAACGAAAGAGACAAGACCTTGGGTTCGGTACTTAGGCATGGTGCCTCCCATCCGAATCTCTCCAGTTTGGTCCATTAGGGTCCAAGATGCAGGGGTTCCCTCAGGCCCCAGGACACAGGAACTTGGGAATTTCTTTATACAGCGTTCGATGAATCTCTGGCTCAATTCATTGCCACCAAAAAGCCAGAATTCATTCACCAAGGAAGCATGGGTGACATCCAAGGATGAAAGTTTAAACACGTCTTGATTGCTGTAGAGGGTCCAAGAAGAAAGCAAAGTCTGTGAGTATAAGGCTGCATGTTTTTTCCTACCTCTATTATCTTGAGGGGCAGAACGTTGGCATCAAGAAATGCAAAGTTCAGGAATATAGATGGGCTTATGCTGGAAGGGCAGGAAGGCCAGTGTGATTGGAGGAAATGAGGAAGAAGAATAAATGTCAAGTGGTGAACAGGGGACTTCAATCTTACAATAATAACAAGGAATATGGTCAGAGTTATACTTATAGATTATTCTGATCATTTTTATTTTATTTAATGACTTTGAGGAGTGGTGAATAGGAGGTTTTGGATATACCCACACTGGGGATCAGAGAAGAACCTGTGGAGATGGCTCTCTCCTTTAGCCATGCTGGTCCTGGGTATTGAATTCAGTAACTCAGTTGGTCAGTCTTGGCCATAAAAGCCCTTACTTGATGGACCATCTTGCTGGCACTATTGCAATTCAAACTTTTAAAAGCTTATTATTTAATAATTCAATGGACATATGACACATATGTTAGTTTTAGACACTCTTAACTACCTTCATTCTACCCTCCCTCCCACTCTAGTAGCCCTCTTCTCCCAAAGTTCCTCTCCTTTCATTTCTATTGTGTTGGTAGTGTGACCGATTGAATTTTATTACAGTTGCTTGGATGAGCATGGGTGGGGCTCATCTACTACAGTGTGGGCATTAAAGACCAGTGTAAACTCGGGGCCAGGAAGTGGGGGTTGTAGGACAAAGAGATGAGGTGCCTCTTATCAAACTCACATGGCCTTTGGCTTGACACCACCTGGCAATAAATTCTTTGTATCCAGCAGGGAAGGGAACAGGTTCTTGATTGTCTCTGCTGCTACATAGAGGATGTTTTCTGAATGGTTGACTTGGGAAGACCGAATGCTTGCAAGATTTTGTATCACTTCATTCAGGCGGGACTGGGAACCTAGACGGGTTTATAAGGAAACATATAGGGAACTTCTAAGGAAAGAAGTAATGGTTAGACATCTTCTGGCTGGGGGCTCTCCAATGGGGTGGGAAGTGTGACATTTAAGATAAAAGCTTGGCCATGATCATGCTAATGCTTCTGTGTGAATAGCCATACAATCATGGCTGGCATAATGCTCTCTGTCTTACAAAAATGAAACCATGTAAGGGAATGAATAATTCATAGTCATTTTGTGAGTAGACCAAGACTGGAACTAAGTTTTTTTACGCTGTATAATTGTGTAGTTTTGAAAATCAGAGGATAAGCTATAAAATATGGTAGTCAGCATCTTCTGAGTCATGTCTCCAATGTGGTAGATTATTGAAGCAATGATTTAGAATCTAACCAAAATTCCTTGTATCTGTCCCCTGGAATAGTTCCCTTATATACCCTATCTGACCAATGAGAATATAAACTTATGCAAGGAGAGACTTAACAGTGTTAGACCTTGAGACTTTTTTTAAATTCTAGTTACCTTGAGACCAACTGCATATAAAGTAGCCTAGGCTAGCTGACCAGAGACACATGGCACCATCATCACCACCAATAGCTGGCATTGACTGACAGACAGAGCCATCATCTACACATGTGAAGGAATCTATGGCAGAGCAACATGTACTGAGTTCTCCAATCAACATATAATACATGAACAAATCTAATAGAGACCAGTAATGAGCCAAATTGTTGGTTCACTTCATTATGAGTTTTCTATTACAGCAAATGTTAACTTGCTGCAAAGCCCAAACCGAATTGTTGGTTCACTTCATTATGAGTTTTCTATTACAGCAAATGTTAACTGATTACCCCTCTGTTTTAGTTTCACACAGTTGCTGATACAAAACACCATAATGAAATTCAACTTGGGACAAAGGGTTTATTTGGGTTTACTTCCAGGTCACAATCCCACCATTAAAGGAAATCATGGAAGGAACTCCAGTCAGGAGCTACAAAAGAACTGCTTGCTGGCTTACTCTCTGGATCATTCACATGCTCACATTCGACTAGTTTTCTTACATAGTCCAGGACCAATTATCTAGGGATAGTACTACCTATAGTGGTCTAGCCCCGTCTCTATTAATTAGCAATCAAAACAATGCCCTACAGACATGCTTTCCAAGCCAATCTGATCTTGGCAATTACTTTACATAGTCCAGGACCAATTATCTAGGGATAGTACTATAGTGGTCTAGCCCCGTCTCTATTAATTAGCAATCAAAACAATGCCCTACAGACATGCTTTCCAAGCCAATCTGATCTTGGCAATTACCCAACTGAGGCAACTCTACCCAAGTGATTCTAGCTTGTGTCAAGTTGGCAATTATGGATAACCAGGACACCCAGTTAAATTTGGTTCTTCCTGTTCAAACTCCAGTGTCTCGTATTTTAAGAACTCCTATTGCGTTGATATGTATATGCAAAGAATATGATCTCAGAGAGGACAATACACTTCTTAAGGATCAGATGGAGAGGAGCAGATAGACACCAACTTAGGGAGTCTTACTCAAAGGCCATGCTTATCAACAGGTTGTTATTGGCAACCTGAGAGGTACCCTGTGACACCATGAACTGTCAGTACTATTACAGACATGAGGTTCCAGAGGTGAAGCTGCACTCCTGCAACCACTTTTCCTAAGGATTCTGGATACATCTATAAAACGTGCCACACATTTCTGGGACTAGGGATTATTGTAGTGGTTGGTCTCAGTTGTCAACTTGACAGGATTTCTAACCATCTAGGAGATATACCTCTGGAAGAAGCTTGACTGAAGGTCAAAGACCAGCCCTCAAACTGGTTCACACCATCCAATAGGCAGGCCAGATGAAGAAGGGTGTTAGCAAAAAGCAATTCCCCAAATTGTCTATTGACTAGCATTGCTGCTACCATCCTCTGCTGATATCATATTTGGTCTCTTCAACCTTCCAGAGTGAGCACAATATCATAACTCCCCAGGAAATGTCCAGTCTATCGGCAACAAACTGCGATTGCCAAAGTGCACAGCTTTGTGGACCAGGTAGTTACCAAGATCTCTGCCTCTCCAATGTGCATATAGCTACTATTGGTCTACATAGTCCCTTTTATATAAGCCAAGCTAATAAATACCCTTTTATTGTATGTAAATATGCATGTATTCTGTAGGTTCTGTTCCTCTGAATAACTGTGTTTCATACTATTCTATTTACAAGTAGATTTAATGATGTCATGTCTGACTGAGGACGTGGAACTTAGTGCGGGGAGCATAGAGATCTTGAGAGACAAGACACAGAAGGGATTGAACCCACTTCCCATTGCTCTTACTTTGAATCTGCAAATGCTGTTTCCAGTTGATGACTTCTGGGGAGTCCAGGAACTTCTGACAATTCTGGGGGTCTTTAGAGAAGATTTGGTAAGTATTGGTGTAGTGATCAAGGTCATTTGCCATGTCCTGTTAGCATGGAGAAAGGACAGATAATATTCATTGTTTATTGTTTATGATTGCAGTGCTAGTTCTGTTACACTTTAATATTTTACATATTATTTTAACATTTTATGTGTATGGGTGTTTTGCTTGCATGACTAACTATGTACCTCATGTATGCTTAGTCTCAGGGAGGCCAGAAAAGGGCATTGGTTCTTCTGGAACTGGAGTCACAGATGATGACGACATCGTGTGCATCCTGAGAATTAAACCCAGGTCCTCTGGAAAAGCAGCCAGTGCTCTTAACCATTGGCCCATCATAGACTCTGATTACACAAACTGAAATGTTTACAATGCCATTAGGAGATATACTGAGAGTGTGTGTCTTTGTGTGTGTGTGTGTGTGTGTGTGGGTGTGAGAGAGAGAGAGAGAGAGAGAGAGAGCCAGCCAGCCAGCCAGACAGCCAGCCAGCCAGCCAGCCAGTGAACAAACAAACCAGTTGTAAAGCTACTACCACCT